TTTAGAACGCTGTGCAAAATTTTGTCTCAATCGGATAAATATTGGCAGTATGGTGCTCCATTTACATAAAATCGGACGAAACTATATATGGCAGCTATATCTAAATCTGAACCGATTCCAACAAAATTTCGCATTCATCAGTCGGAACCTAATCTAGTACGCTGTGCAAAATTATGCTTCAATCGTACCAATATTGGAAGTTTGGTGCACTATTTACATTAAATCGGACGATACTATATATGGGAGGTATATCTAAATCTGACCCGATTTCAACAAAACTTCTCATTCATTAATCATAACTTCATTTAGTACGCTGTGCAAAATTTTGTCTCAATCGGATAAATATTGACAGTATGTTGTTCCATTTACATAAAATCGGACGAAACTATATATAGCATATTTAGATATAAATCTGAACCGATTCCAACAAAATTCCTCATACATCAGTCGGAACCTAATTCAGTACTCTGTGCAAAATGTTGCTTTAGTCGGACCACTATTGGGAGTTTGGTGCACTATTTACATTAAATCGGACGAAACTATACATCGGAGCTATATCTAAATCTGAACCGATTTCAACAAACCTTGGCATATAACTATCTAGACCTAATTCAATACTCTGTGCAAAATTTTGTCTCGATCGGCCCAAAATTGGGAGTTTGATGCATCAATAAGTTAAAATGGAACGAAAATATATATGGGAGCTATATCTAAATCTGAACCGATTTTCTCCAATAGGGTTCGTCCTTGGGCCAATTAAGTGACCTGTGCCAAATTTCATCCAAATCGGATCATAAATACGACCTGTACTTTGTTAACAAAAATACATGGACGGACGGACTTACAGACGGATATGCATAAATCGACTCAGAAAGTGATTCTATGCATATTCTCAAAAGGAACCATGGGTCTATCTCGATTATTTTTGCCTGTTACAAACATATGCACAACGACACAATACCCTGTACCACAGTGTGGTGAAGGGTATAAAAAGGGGGTTATAAGGGGACTACCCCTAAAAGGGGGCGGTTTGTTACCAAAAAAGTCAATTTTTTAAGACTCATTGTATGGGAGGTTTACCAATCTTTAGTCCGATATATTAATAAACATAAACATATTTTATAACATTTTGCAGTACATTCTGAAGTTAGGATAGCCTAACGCGTGCCAAATTCTATTGAAATTGGTTCAGATTTAGATATAGCTCCCATATATATTTTCGTCCGATTTTTAGCACTTGGTGCACCAGAGTCAAATTTAACCCGATTGGCATGAATGACAATGACTGAAGTTTGGATAGCCTAAAGTTCGGACATGTTAAATCGTCATCGAATTTTACGCTGATTAAAAATATATACTTTATTGGGTTGGAAATGATTATTTCGACGAGTTATAAACGGAAAAACAAACTTAATATGCCCTCCACCATAGTAAGGTACAAATGTACCTGGTATTTTTTTCATTTTTTTACGTTTTTATAATGGAAGTCAGTTCACAATAGTGAGTTTTGACTACAAACTTAAGATACAGCTGATATCCAGCTTGTCGCCCTGGATGACCTTATTAATAGGCCATGGAATATTTGGAAAAAAAATAACACAATTGTCGTGATTAATACTCATATTTTCATTATAAGGCCAGAAATATATACATAGTAGCCCTCATACTGCCCATAGGCGAAAGATGGACTTCCACGGTCCGTAGAAGAATATATAATAACTTATTATCTCCATCAACCATGGACCCTTATAAGTCCATAGAAGTGCCAGGGTTTTCTGTTCATAGGACAACTAAACGTTTATGGAGAATTTATAGGATTTATTATATCAATATAATAAGCCTTCTCCCGTTTATAGAGAGCCAAGGCCCATGGATTTTTCTTCTTCTTCTCCTTTTACAAAACTTCACATTAACTAATTTCTCAGTTAATATCTGTCAAAGTAAATGACTTACATATATAAAAACCAGTGAGCGGAGCAGACCGACCATATGATACCCTACACAACTACCACGAAACGCACACTTTCGGCGGTTCTATCTTCTGAGCCTGGGCAATATTTCGTGATAATTGCCACGAAATATTGCCCAGGTATCAGCCATATAATTGGTATCAATTTGAAGGTCAACAACTCATCTTGGACATACTATCAACATCTCGAGTATATGTCCTTCAGGAGCAAGTATATATGTCCCAGAATAAAAATTTTGTAATTTCTCACACAAAAGTCAAATATTAAATATTGACCGATCTTTATCAAAACAGGTATGCTTATTCTTAGCCCCGATCCCCTTCTCCATGTAAAATTTCACGATATTCGGACCATAACTGCGGCCTCTGGAGCGACCAGAAAAACCGACAAAAATTTAGTATTTGGTCCATTTCATCCCCTAAATATTAACCGATCTTTATCAAAAAAAATAGGGGTTTTCATTGGCCAGAACCCATCCTACATGCAAAATTTCGTGAAGATTGGTCCATAACTGTGGCCTGTATCGTGTTTACAAATTATAATGGACGGACGGACGGACACACATGTCTAGATCGACTCAGCTAGTCGAGATATGACGTTTGGTATACTTAAAGGTGGGTATAGGACCAATATTTCGCGGCGTTACAAACATTTGGGACTGCACAAAGCTATAATACCCTGACAACATAGTTGTGTAGGGTATAATTATCTACTCCCTGTGCATAATCCTCACTCACTTATTTCCGCACCATAAAATATTTTCAATTGTTTTCACGTTTCAATGATTGAAGGAAAATATTCTGCGTGCCAGCAGACTCTAAGCGAGGCAGTGGAATCATCTTGCGAAAGTAAAAGTTAATGAAATCACAGATGTCTGTGTTTGTGACTGACTGACTGTCTGTCTGTCTGCCTCGGTCTTCCTTTGCTTGCCAATGATTACTTCGACTTATTGAATTTGTGTGTTTTTGTCTGTTTTGCCAGTTGTGTCGAAGACTTACGACGACAAGAAGAACAAATAACACCCAGCAATTGTCTAACAAATGAATGTCTCCTCTCCCACATTTCCCCCTTTTCATTTTTTTTGCAGCTATCCCTCCTGTAGCGGTGCCAAAGCTCCCGGTTTGGCAGCTGATATGCATTTTAAAAACGATGTGATTGCTTTTATCGGTCCTGCCTGTGCCTTTGCCCTGGAGCCGGTGGCACGTTTGGCTGCCTATTGGAATTCACCCATCATCACCGGTATGGGTGATCAGGTAAGATGTTACAAGGCGTTTTGTTACAAGGAATTGCAATTGCTTCTTCATTGTGTCGAGAAGTGCTTACGTTTTAATTAACTGCTGCGGGAGTTAATTAGGATTTTTCGTTTTCCTTTTGTTTAGCATGACAAATATCTATTAGATGTTTTATTCACGCGATGTTTGGTGTTTGTGGGTGATAGGATATGGGGGAGGATAAATCAAATGTTTTGTGTAATTGTTTAATTCTTTTTGAAGATGTTATTTATTCTTTATTCGTTTTTCCTAATACTTTATTATGTTTCTCTTTAAAATAATGCAGCCTCCATCCGAAGGTGAATTAACGGTGACATCCGGTATATTGGGTCGTATCCACAAATGGAAAAATGAAAGTACGGTAAGTAATAATGAAAAATAGTAGGAATTTCTAAAACGGTAATAAGATAATCTCTTATTAAGAGAAAATAAATTGGATTTCTTGGTGGTGGCGCTGTTAATACTCGACAATCGGGAGGCGGGCCAATAACTTAAAAAAAAAAAAACAGTAAGGAAAGTAGTAAAGTCGGACGGGGCCGACTATATGATACCCTTCACCACTTTGGGTATATTAAACAGGACTATTAACATGAAATTGAATGAAATAAAATATGCGATATTTATGTAAATGTGAATCTACCTAGATCTATCCATAAAGTATGTAAATCGACTTCAAACAAATATAAATAGGTCATCCGTTGGGCTATGTCTGGACTTCTAGAAAACGCAACTGCGTAATTCTATGCTCAATTTTGTAAGTTGTGCAAAAATTGATGTCAAACTGACTAACAATTTACTTGAAATCGGGCGAAAATATATATGGAAGCTCTATCCAAATATTAAGCGATTTCAAAAAAAACTTGTCACAGGTTAGGTTATACTAATTTCAAAACGTTTTGTTCCTATTGGTTCCTTGGTGCGTCAATTACTTAAAATCAATCTATATTAAAAGGGAGCTATATCTAAATCTGGACCGATTTTCACGAAACAAGGCAGACATCACTCTAGGCTCAATTCAGTACGTTATGCCAAATTTCGTGCAAATCGAAAGATATATAGCGACTTTGGTGTACCATTTATATGAAATCGGACGAAACTATATATGGACCGATTTTCACGAAACTTGGCAGACATCATTCTAGGCTCAATTCAGTACGTTATGCCAAATTTCGTGCAAATCGAAAGATATATAGGGACTTTGGGGCACCATTTACATGATATCGGACGAAACTATATATGGGAGCTATATCTAAATCTGGACCGATTTTCTCGAAACTTGGCAGACATCACTCTAGGCTCAATTCAGTACGCTATGCCAAATTTCGTGCAAATCGAAGCACATTATTATTTCATTTACCAAAATATAGGGACTTTGGTGCACCATTTATATGAAATCGGACGAAACTATATATGGGAGCTATATCTCAATCAGGACCGATTTTCACGAAACTTGGCAGACATCTTTCTAGGCTCAATTCAGTACGTTGTGCCAAATTTCGTGCGAATCGAAAGATATATAGGGACTTTGGGGCACCATTTACATGAAATCGGACGAAACTATATATGGGAGCTATATCTAAATCTGGACCGATTTTCTCGAAACTTGGCAGACATCATTATAGACCTAAATGATTAGGCTGTACCAAAATCGACTTAGAAAGTGATTCTATGCATATTCTCAAAAGGAACCATGTGTCTATCTCGTTTCCTTTTGCCTGTTACAAACATATGCACAAAGACATAATACCCTGTACAACAGTGTGGTGAAGGGTATAAAAACAAAACAAAAAAATTGAATTTCAGTACAGGTTTAAAGGAGCTTAAAATTCAAGCCAGATCGGTCTTCTAAAATATAGCCAAATATGCATGTTTATTTACAGTATTTTACAGCTTATGCAAGATGTATGGTAGTATTCCTCTATAAAAAACCCCTTTGGTCTTCTTCTCAAAAATTTCCATTTATATTCAATTGAAATCGGCTTTCTGTTCATCATGGGTCGAAGAAGTACTATGATTCGTCTATAGACAGATGAAAACCTTAGCTTCATGCCTCGCCTATATGTTTATTGAAGAGGGAGGAAGAGTATAAATGATCTATAGATAGGCTTCGTCTGTGAAGATCTTCTTTTTCTCCCCATAGAAGATTTATAAATCTTATTTTTCCATAGAACCATGGATCCGCTTTGGTAAATGAAATAATAATGTGCTATTATTTATCTGTACGAGTTATGGATTTTCTTCCGTCTATGGAAGAAATATATTAAATATTCTGTCTGAAGAAGAGCTTTTACTCGCATACGAGGGTCGCTACATATTTCTGACCTTGACAACAACTTTCTATGTGGGTTTCACGAAAAGAGTGCCTCAATAAAAATTAAATCTTTGTGTGTCGATGAAGGATCTTTTTTATCATTGTAAAAAAATTGTATGATGCATTCTATCAGGTCCGATTCTCGCTTAAAGAAGAAAATCGTTGAAAACTGCCGTTGAACTTCCAACATTGATAATGCAAGATCCTTATGTACCAAACCGTGAGATAGGGACATTCTTGGACATTTCTTCCATCAACAAACATTGGATATAGATTGAACTCCTGACTGCATAAATTGGTTGTTTGTCAATCGTCAAAAAAAAAAAAAAAAAAAAAAACAAAACAGTAAGGAAAGTTCAAAAGTCGAACGGGGCCGACTATATGATACCCTTCACCACGTTGGGTTCCGTTGCATACATATATTTTTTTGTTATCACTCAATATTCAATTTAATACCCTCTGCCAAATTTCCTGTAAATCGAACAAACATAGGCCCTTCGGTGTACAATTCACATAAAATCGAACGAAAATATATATAAGACCTATATCAAAATCTGAACCGATTTCAATAAACCTTATCACACATAATTTGTTCCTCAATTGCATTGGCTATGCAAAATTTTGTTCAATCGCACAAATTTGCTGTATAATTCACAAAAAATCGGCCGAAACTATATATGGGAGCTATATCTAAATCTGAATCGATTTTAACAAAACTTCGCAGACATCGGTTTGGGCCTAATTCAGTTCTCTGTGCAAAATTTTGTCTCAATCGGACAAATATTGGGAGTTTGGTGCATCATTCACAAAAAAATCGGGTGAAACTATATATGGGAGCTATATCTAAATTTGAACCGATTTTAACAACATTTCGCGGAAATCAGTCTGGATTTAATTCAGTACTCTGAGCAAGATTTTGTCTCAATCGGACAAATATTGGAAGTTTGGTGCATCATTCACAAAAAATCGGGTGAAACTATATATGGAAGCTATATCTAAATCTGAACCGATTCCAACAAAACTTCGCAGACATTAATCTGGAACTAATTCAGTACTCTGTGCAAAATTTTGTCTCAATCGGACAAATATTGGGAGTTTGGTGCATCATTCACATAAAATCGGACGAAACTATATATGGGAGATATATCTAAATCTTAACCGATTTTCATGGGAGCTATAGCTAAACCTGAACCGATTTTTCCCAATTTCAATAGGGTTCGTTCTTGGGCCAATTAAGTGACCTTTGCCAAATTTCATCCAAATCGGATCATAAATGCGACCTGTACTTTGTTAACAAAAATACATGGACGGACGGAAGGACAGACGGACATGCATAAATTGATTAAATTGATTAAATTTTTGCCTGTTACAAACATATGCACAAAGACATAATACCCTGTACCACACTGTGGTGAAGGGTATAAAAAACTCTTGTCTATTGGCGCAAATAAAATATAACAAATACCACCCAACAAATCCAACGAAAGTTGTCCGTGAAAAAGGCAAAGCAAATGCACACCACTATTTGTTTACCTGCAGTCTTCGAAAAACATCACTTTCTGAGTCGATTTATGCATGTCCGTCCGTCTGTTGATGTTAAATTGTAAAGAAAGTTCAGATCGCATTTATAATCCGATTTGGATGAAATTTGGTACAGCTCATTTATTTGGCCAAAGGATGAACCCTATTGAAATTGGGAAAAATCGGTTCAGATTTAGATATAGCTTACCTACTTAGCTGGCTTGTTACAGAACGGTTGTTACATAAGCCGAGCTTAAGAAAGATTTCCAAGCGCGTCGGTCTTGTGCGCAAGTCCACCAATTTGGAAGACCACGTTCCAAGATGTTGTTTTCTACTTGGTCTTTCCATCTAATTCGTGGCCTTCCCCTTCTACGGGCTCATTTTTATATGCCTTTTGAGCTGGGGCATTTTCATTCATCCGCACAACATGGCCTAGCCACCGTAGTCGCTGCAGCTCAATACGACTGACTATGTCGATGTCCGCGTATAAATTGTAAAGCTCTTGGTTCATTCGACGCCGATATTCACCGTCGACGCAGATCGGTCTGTAGATCTTTCGGAGAATTTTTCTCTCAAACACCCCAAGAGCTGCCTCATCTGCCTGCGCAAGTACCCATGCTTCTGACCCATATAATAGCACGGGTAGTATCAGCGTCTAGTAAAGTGTGAGTTTGGTCTGGCGGGAGGTGGCCTTGTTTCTAAACTGCTTACTTAGACCATAATAGCATCTGTTGGCCATCACAATCCTTGTGATTGATGTCATTTGTTTTATTTATGGCGGTACCAAGGTATATAAAGTCTTTAACTACCTCGAAGCTGTAGTTCTCAAGTTCTGGTCTTTTCCAGGATTTGGCGCAGATTGAAAATCTGGTCAATGGTGGATTTGCCAGGTCTGAAGCCGCATTGGTATGGTCCGATGATGTCATTGACCATTGACTTCAATCGTTCACACAGCACACTGGATAGCACTTTGTATGCGATGGGAAGGAGATTTATTCCTCTATAGTTAGCACATATCGTCTTGTCTCCTTTGTGCACGGGACACAGGATGCTGAGGTTCCAATCACTGGACATGCATTCATCTAGCCAAATTGTACTAATCAGCTGGTGCATGCTCCTGACCAGCATCTGACCACCAGACTTGAATAGTTCGGCTGGTAACCCATCGGCTCCTGATGCTTTGTTGTTCTTGAGCCGATTAATTGCTTTTATGACCTCATCTTGGCTAGGTGGTATACACTCTATACCATCATCTCTTATTGGTTCTGGGGTATCTTCTTCATCGCCACTATTTGATACTAGAAGCTTTTCGAAATGCTCCTTCCATATCCTCAACACACTGTCTTTATCTGTCACCAGGTTCCCTTCTTCATCTCTACAGGAGGATGTGCCTGCACCAAAGCCTTCGGTTTGGTGTTTTACTCGTTGGTAAAATTTTCGGACTTCATTCTGACTCCTGTACATCTCGATTTGCTCACGCTCTCGTTTTTCTTGTTCTTTCTTCTTTTTTCTGAAAACACGTTTCTCCT